CTTCCCACCCTCAGAATCTATACGTTTGCAATTCATTAAATGTTATCAGTTAATTTACTAATGCGATGATAATGAAGACGATAATGATGATGATGATGATGATGATGATGATGATGATGATTATGATGATGATGATCATGATGATGATGATGATGATGATGATGATGGTGATGATGATGATCTCAGGAATGTTTACAGACGCCCAGACGTGTTACGCTCCTTTAATTTTGATCAAGATACTCAAAAATCACCCACTGCCTCCTCGCTGCCTGCCTGTCAGACCTTCCGCGGGCTGGAATGGATGCAGAATCTTCTTTAAAATATACGAAAAAAAGCCGCTTAGAAGAGTGAATGTTATCATGCTACCCAACACGGGAATCAAACCGGAGCTTTTAGCTTTATAAATGGTAGAGACTAACCATACATTCACAAGCAAAAAAAAAAAATTTAGTGGAGCATGCGGTGTTGCATCATAGCACTCTCTTGCAGTTTTCACTAAATGCCGCGTTTAATTATCAATCAAGGTAAATATTTTACAAAAGCAACGTATCCTACTGTTTTAACCCTTAAAACCTTGAATTCTTTTTTTTCACACATCCCTAGAATCCTAAATTAAAATCGAGATACTAGAAAAAAATCAGGATGGTAAGTTTCTTTATTTACTGCGTCTTTAATTGTTGTTAGATTTTACTGAAGTTTGAACATGTTATGTACACATGAATGCACATTCTGGACAAAAGGGGAAAAGTATAAAACTAAAACATTGGTTTTTAGGATGAAGCCCTGTAAGTAAAGTCTTGTGTATCACTGACTCCACTTCCGTCAAAGCCTCATTAGACCCAGACGTAGATCTAGCCTCTGGTAGATCTGATCTTGTGGTGATCCCCTGCCACTTCCGCTGTAGTCAAAAGCATCATCGATGTTAAGCGAAACATTGCAATCGTCTTCAACAGTCATCTTATTTGGTCGCTTTTAAGGACAAGAAAGCTAACCCAGATTTCGGGGAGTTCCAGAAATCTTGACCTACACCAAAAGTAAGCATTGTCCTACCTATAGGAGACGTTTGGTTTCATTGGTATGCATATTTGTTTGGTTATAGAGAAAACACCTCCTTGTCTTTTAAAGAAACTTAAGAAAGGTGCTAAAACTTTACCTTTTATTTTCTCAAAACAGTAATTTTCTCGATAGTCCCAATGTGCTTTAAAGCGACCATTTATCAATTATGCGACTGGGAGACCATCATTGGGGTCTGGTTCAAGGTAAAACATGTCACAAGTTTTGCGTCCTAAAAGGCCTGACAGCGAAAAGTCACTACTTTTTTCTTTAACTCCCAAAAATTCCAAACTTTCGGTGTAGAACTGCTCTAATGATACTATTATCGTATCGGTACTTTCTGCTCCCGACAAAGTCATATCTGGGGTTACATCCCCTGTTTCTAGCACTGGGAATTAAACGATAAAGTTGACCAGCGGTCACCAGCGGTATAGGAAAATACGGCGTCAGCTGTTACCAGCGGTATATAGGGGTTTACCCTATTTAAGCAGGTTACATTTTAAAATTAAGTTGGCACAGTTTAGAGGGGGAAATTAAAGAGATACATAAGAACACACCGCGTTGGGCGCGTGGTGCTACAGTGCAGCAATGCCAATAGGCAGAACATTGAAGGAACGTCTGGAAAATATTATTGTAAACCTGACCTCGGTGGACGTGGATTAATCTTTCTCATAACGGTTTATTCTTAAAGCCCATGAAGCATAACATTAACAATGGCTATTTTGACACAAAGAACTGACTTGATTATAGAACGTACGTCGATGCTTTGTCGAGGAAATATAGTACAAAAGTATTTTGTGGACACCAGTAGAGGAAGAAGTTTAGACTCTTGGTAAAAAGGAAAACAACAAGCATCGAAACACTTCCATTTTTATTATGATGCTATCATGGATAAAGAACCAAAGCCACATGTCTTAATAAAACATTGAGTTGTTTCCCTTCATCAATACAGTTTGCCACCCCTCCGTCCCCATCCACCTTCCCCATAAGAAATATAAAATCAAACTGATTAATGGGTTCAGTCCTGAAATAGAGTCACTTTTTTCAAAGATTGTATTAATGAAATATAAAACCGTGATTCAATTACAGAGTGTTTAATTGTTTAATATCCTCAATACCTGAAAACGTGACCATTCTGTTTATCCAGCACGGTCTATTATCCCAGTGCAGTCTAAGAAAAAAATTTTGTTGAAAGAGATATCAATATTAAGAGAAGATAATACTTAATCGTCCCTGTGAGACAATCTCCATGATAAAACACATGTGGACGGAATCCCGCCTGATACAACAGTTATTTCAGGAAATCCTACATGTAGTGCACGTTTCTTCACGCGTGGACTAATCACGTGACGCTGACAGGCCAGCAACTGCCGCCACAATATCAGGGCCAGATGACACAACAGAATAAATAATAATATGTTCAAAAAGGGTACGGAGAGTGTGGGATGGTGGTGAACTAAGTACCAGCTTTTATTTTTTCACAAAAGGAAAAAAAAATTATATTAGTTTACGAACAACGATGAGTATAAGAACATTATTATTAATATTTAATGAGCCTTTCAAGGAGTTCTTTGCAACGCAATAGCCCTTTTTTATAACTATGAGGCAGCGTAGTTGAATCAGGCTCTAGTCAATTTTTGGACAAGTAGAGTTTGTCTTTATTTGGATGAAAAAAATATCAATTTATCTTGAGTACAAGTCGAAATATTTGCGAATGAAAGAGGTGGTGGTCACCTGTTTTCAGAGGTAAAATAAGTGAGAAAATGGGCGCCAAAGATTAGTTATTTCCTTAGCTTAAGAGTCCGTGGTAACTGAAAATTTACATTTTTGTGCCTTTAATGAAAATTTTTCAGAAAAATCCACACGGAAATGAGTTCTTTAAAGGGAAAGAACGGTGTTGAGCCAAAAAACAAAAATTTGATAAAAATTCACATACCTGCGGAAAAATACAAGTTTCTTCATTTTGATTATTTTGATGAGAGCCTGATTCTGCCTCCCTGTCTCACAATTATTCTCTTCGGAAATGAAAAGTTCATTGTATTCAGACATTGTTTGTGGGTGTAATATTTGTTCAACATGGCGTCGACAGGTCGAATTCCATACATGCAAAGGAACAATTGTAAAACCCTAACAACCTTTCTCTATTTATCATGTTTATGGTATACAAATCAGCGTATGCATTGCTCGGTTTATTCA